ATGACCAGTTCCGAACGTGTTTTCCCAGCTCTGTTCCAACCTCGAATTCCCACCGGGAGGATGTTTGCTTATGGCTCCATGAACATCAGCCAGGGCACTACTCTGGTACCCGGTGAATACCGCATCCTGGCCAGGAGTTTGCGGATATATGGTGATCGCTCCAACTTGGATGATTGGCAGACAGCGTTGTCCAATTGGTTCACCCTCAAGGCGCTGCCCCCATCGAACTCCACCACCACCACCACATCTCAGACGGCTACTTCTACTTCAACCACTGCACCCACCTCCGCTGCGCCACTCCCACCTATCGCTGTCTGCGGCGAGTCCGTTCCCATCAACCTCACGGCTCGCATTACTACAGAGACCAGCAGGTATGGTCTCATGTTGAGCTCCGACTTCTTGGTCTACGACCGCCGCGGCGACGGTACGCATTTCGAGTGGGCCCTGACCAACGAAGGTTATCTCAAGACTCGCGACATTTCGCGCAGTACACCCGTGGACATCTACGCAGCTGTGCATTCCAACAATAACAGCTTAATCTACATGTACACGCCTGGCCAGATATCGGGAGCGTTCTCATATCTTACTTGCGCGCGACAGGGAACCGAACTGCTGTGCACAGCCAACGCGAAGTCTTCTTTCTACGACTGCCAAGATCCCGAAGACAACGAGGCCTACGTTCACATCCGCAGCGGCCCGGAAGTTCGGAGCGGCTGTCGGCAGGTAACTTTCAACTTCGAGGATCTTCCGCAGGCCTGCGACACGCCAACTGCTAGTTCTCCTGCGACGGTCAGCGCAGCTCCGACTGTGAGCCTCATGGTTTGAGAGTGGAAGCCTTTGCGTGGAGGGGCTTTGGGATCCGTGGGATCGGTGCTTCATCATTCTTTTCCTTCGCGAACACTCGTTCATTGTTGTCTATCTCGTGGACAGCCACCCTGGTCCCTTTTCGGGAGCATTACTGTTGCTAGTTTGTGACCTACTGTCATTTGCTTTACTTTTCTTCCATGTACATATTTACAGACAAATTATACGAGACATGACATTGGTCACGAAGTCACTGCCACATTGCCGAGTTGTGCTGTGATCCGGGCAGAATTTCGTTCAGGCCAGTTCAAGCCTAAAGTCAAAGACATTCGTGGCTTTCAATACATGCTAGGAGTATGACGATCTGGTAAGAGGCATTGAGGAGTGCTTGTGTTGGGTGTTGTCGGTGTGTAGTATTGGGGTAATCTTTCGCTTCGCAATTCTCAGAGGACCAGAGAATGCGGTAGTTGCCATCACCAACCGGTCGGTTTAGATCAAAGCGACTTGAATGAACTTAAATATTTGCTCATTTCGCGATGGGACCTCCACCCCCAAGCTTGGTCGGCTTGACTGTTGTTGCTGAATTGCATGGTGACTTTCGGTTTCATTCATGAGAGAGCCGCCCGACATGATTCTCTGTGATCGGCGCCCCGCCAAAACCTTATCTTCTGCCAGATCCAGAACTCGTGAGTATGTGCTGATCCCCGGGAGAACCGTTCCGAGACCAACTCAGTGGAAGAAACGGTGATGTGACTAGTTCTCCATGTGCTGTCTCTGAGACTACCCCGTCCATGTGCTTGCAGGACTAGGGGGAGGCGCTAAGCCATACACCTGATCCCGCTTGTACACACTACCGTGGCCCCATGTTGCACGAACCTCCTGCTGAGCTTCTTAGCGTGCCAAGCTAGATCATTAGCATCGAAAATGCTCGAGTCTCGGAGCGAGCGGGACATTTTGCGAGATTCACCGGCCTAGGCGCCTCACACTTGGCGGCTCCAAATGCCGAGACGCGATAACGATACGTGACCCACTCCCGAGGGCAAGTAATGATGACATACATATCAACATGAACGATTGAGAGACCTTTTGTGATCCACCCTGGCCCTCCAAAGTGTGTCCGGCAGAGGCATCTTGTGATCAACAAGGTGTGCCTGCTGGCGGTAGCCTGCTATGCGAAAGAATCAATAAATGAAAGTTAGAAGGGGAAAAAAGACCTCTCCAAGGCCCATATCGGCAGCGGAGTTTTGGATTTTTGTTTTATATAATCGTTACATCAGCCTGCAGCATAATTCAAGTATGAACTTTTTGTTCTGCAACTTGTATCTTGAAGAAGAAGAAGAACGACTCCAACGCTAGGTACAACGGCTCCGCGTTGAAATGTAGACTTGGACTTCAGCGCGCAGTAGTCAAAAGCGCTTTTGCGCGAAACAGGGGCTCGGGCTTGAGAAGGTGTCCCTAAGGTCCCCCTACCTTATGCAGGCTTTATATAGCCCCGAACTTTATGTACGCCTCATACTTATAAGAGAGGGAGTGCCGTGTTGAAACAAACACATATCTGTGGCTTTCTGTAATCCATGTTATGTGGTACAGTATTCAGTAATTGAATAACAACATCATACTGCCGATCTGGCTTTAAGTCATTGGCATCGGCGTCATCACCAATTCCACGGAGTCGCTCGTCTCGAGCTTGCATACGTTTATGCTCGCCTTTATTCTTTTCTCTCTCCATCATTGACAATCAATATGGAGCCTCTCGAAGTTCCCTTAGCGCCAGAGGCGACGTTCGTGAGGATGAGAAAGGACTACTCCCGATCTCTGCTTCAACTTGAGCCTTCGCAGCAGCCTACTTGGGGCAGAGCAAGCCGCGGATCCTGGATGCGCTCAGTCGGATCACTATTCCTTGTGATGTTCGCGCCGACGTTGGTCATCTCCACCACTGTCACTCTTTCTGCATTCCAAGGCTCTCTCTCCGAGTTCCTGAAGGCCGTTCTACAGGACGGATTGATCTCTGTTGTATGGTCAAATTGGCCGCAGTTCAGTCTCAAGGTCACGGGCGTGTTTACGCTCTGGGTTATGTTCCAAGGCATCCTCTTTCGATATCTTCCAGGGCCAACACACCACGGTCAAAGAAGCCCTGCCGGACACCTGTTGACCTATCGAACTAATGGATTAAACGCTTGGTTCGTTACTCATGCATTTGCCGCTGCGCTCTGCTACTTCGACTTTTTGGATCCTGCCTTTATCCCAAAGAATTGGGGCAGTCTGGTCCTCTCAATGAACGCTGCCGGCCTAGTGCTCTCTGTCCTGGCTTTCATCAAGGCGCATCTGAGACCTACGCATGCGGATGATCGGAAGTTTAGTGGTGAGGCAACTGCGAAAATATGTTTGAATGCCCCTATAATGATTAACATTTGCCAGGATCGGTATTATACGACTTGTACATGGGAATAGAGCTCAATCCAAGAATTTGGGGTGATTTCGATCTAAAGTTATTCACCAACGGTAGACCCGGCATCATTGCATGGACGCTCATGTAGGTTTCTACGAAGATTGTCCAAAACTCACACACGTATGCTGATTCACTCCTAGTGATTTGTCCAACATTGCGTATCAGTACGAGATCCATGGCCGGATCGACCCTAACATTGTTCTTGTTACCATCCTGCACGCAATATATGTCCTTGACTTCTTCGTCAATGAGTCCTGGTACCTGCGCACTATCGACATTGCGCATGACCACTTCGGCTTCTACCTAGCTTGGGGTTCTTTTGTCTGGCTCCCTAGCATGTACACCATTCAAACCCAGTATCTTGGACTTTACCCAACAGCCACATCAACCATTTACCAGGTCGTTATCTTCTCTATCGGAGTTGCTGGGTACATCATCTTCAGGTCCGTCAACAGCCAAAAGGACCGGGTTCGGCGCTCCAATGGCCGTTGCTCTATCTGGGGGAAGCCAGCTAAGGTCCTTGTTGCATCTTACAAGACCTCGAACGGTCACAGTCATCAGAGCCTTCTCATTTGCAGTGGCTGGTGGGGCTGGTCGCGTCATGCCAACTACTTGGGGGATTTGCTTTTGAGTAGCGCAATGTGTGCTTTGGTCGGATCTGACAAATGCTTGGTATGGTTCTATGCGATGTTCATGACGATCTTGCTGGTGCACCGGTGCATACGCGATGAGGCAAGGTGTTCGGAGAAGTATGGAGCGATGTGGGAGGAGTACTGCAAAACTGTTCCGTGGCGAATCCTACCTGGAGTTTGGTGAGGTTTTGCGTTCAGCTCCAAGCCCGTGTCAATATTGAAGCTGAAGGTATATAGAACATAGAAGTTATTACCACCGCCTGTGCAAAGCTAGTTTATTTCTAATAATGTCTTCAATGATCATGATTTACGAAAGCCAGTGTCTATTGGATAGAGTCGCCATGAACGCCCACCAGCATATCATTCGTGCCGTATGTTTTCCATATTTGACACTTAGGTAGACTACCGGTTCGCCCAGAAGACAACGAACTTTGTCACAGTCTCTTCAATCAAAAACGGTATTTCCTTTCTCACTCGAGTTCAACTATCACAAGAACTTAATATTCACATAGGTTCCTCGACCTCAAACCCTAATGCTTCAACCATCAGAATGGCCTTGAACTCCAGCCAATGCCCGGCCAGACGGCAACGGGGTTGAACTTCTTGTCGGCAATTTTGACACGAATCGGGAGACAGACTTGCTGGGGCAAGAAGAGAGTAAGAGTTCACTGAAGTGCAGGGCGGAGACAGGACCACCAAAAGCGTTCGGATGCTGAAGCCAGTGACTGCCGAAGGTATGTGAGCACCAAGCAGCCGCAGGAACGTCAGATTGGATGTATGCTGCTTTGTAGATCTATCCAATCCCTCGAAATAAAACATATCACATGCTATCCAATCATCGAATGGTTTACCTTGAGTGTATTTGCCTGGCAAAATGAACCGTCGGTGTTTGTGTGTCACTGCTCCCGACCGCGATAGGGCGCACTTGTCACCTAAAATCGAACTGTCCCAGTGAGTTGGTGGGGTCGATCCGGGCTTTGCACCGCCGAATAATGAGTCACTGCCCTGAACACGGTCCGGAACTCATTTCCAAACGCCGAACTTCCGATTCCAATAAGACTCTTACTTCAAACTCGTTTCCCGCTCAAAGTCCGGCGTGTTATTGCTTTGTCGTTATGAGTCTCTCAGCGCGTGCGACGGTGGCGTCAGCGCCCGCCAACGGCTCACTGCTATGGGATGTCCAAGCCGATCTCTGGAACCCAGACAGCAACCCTCAGGGCTACGTGAGCTTGGGCATGGCAGAGAACGTCTTGATGCAAGAAGCCCTCCTCAAGCGCGTTGCGCAGGTTCCTCTCATCCCAGCTACAGCCTTCACTTATGGCGATGGCACAACTGGGTCGAAGCGCCTCAAGAACGCCCTCGGAGCGTTCTTGACCAAGCATTTCCACGCCTATAGGAGGGTGGAAGCTTCACACATCACAATCACGAACGGCTGCAGCGCAGCCATCGAGCATCTCGCCTGGGCCTTCGGCAACCAAGATGATTTCTTCCTGGTGGGCAAACCATTCTTTCGCGCTTTCGTGCCCACGACCGGACTGCGGGTAGCCACAAATCTCATATCAGTTCCATGCGAGGGCCTTGATCCTTTTGGCATCGACGTCGTCCAGACCTACGAGAGAGAAATAGTCCGGGCCCACGGGCATGGCCAGAAAGTGGCAGGCATCATTCTCTGCAACCCTCACAATCCCCTCGGTCGATGCTACACAAGGGACGCAATCATTGGTCTGATGAGACTATGCCAGAAGCATAAACTTCATCTCATCAGCGATGAAGTCTATGGTCTCTCGACATTCACAAATGATATTGATTCCATCCCACCATCGACACCATTCACATCTTGCCTCTCCGTTGACACCACAAATATCGTCGATCCGGCTCTCATTCACGTCGTCTGGGGGGTTTCAAAAGACTTTGGCTCCAACGGAATCCGCCTCGCTGCTGTTATTTCCCAGGAGAACCCGGCACTTCATAGAGCCTTGGTCCCCGTTGCACTCTACAGTATGAGCTCATCTTTGGCAGACCACACCTTCTCCAGCATTCTAGAAGATGAGAGCTGGGTAGATGATTACTTGGTAGAGAACCGAAGGCTACTTGCTCGTCACCACAAGTTCATAGTAAACTGGGCTCGGGATCACAAGATCACATATGCTCCAGGTGCAAACGCAGCATTTTTTCTATGGGCTGACCTTGGCAAGGCATACCGTGACCGACACCCCGAAAAGATCATTGAAGACCCAGAGAAGGAGATTATAGCAATCATGTTACAGCACAAAGTCTTTGTTGCACCCGGGCAGGGTTTCGGAGCGGAAGAGAATGGTTGGTTCAGGCTTGTGTTTTCGATCGACCTCAAGACTCTCACCGAAGGCTTAAGTCGAATCATGCTTGCCCTTGAACACCAATGAAAAACGCTTAGCTGTAGTATTCTAAACAAATCATTGCGGCATAGCGAACATATTCAATGAAACCGTAACCGTCTCAATGACCGGCGGACAAGCACATGCGGGAGTAGCCCATAATAACCGTCCGACTATCCTGCCCTCTTTGACCAGGATTCCGACACCCTCAGAAGAGGTAGTGTACTTAGAGTAGCGGAGTCCAGGTATTCTATAAGCAATGGCACCAAACGCTTCAGACCGCTGGTTGTAGATGGCCGCGCGGTACACAAAGTTTCTGCGGCATGTTGGGCACTGCGCTGCTATCAGCCATCCTTGATGGCGCATGTCGCCATGCACAGTACCTCCGAGGGCGTACACATGATGTATTTGGGGCAGAACATTGGCTCCAACCCAAGGTGGGGTTTGAAGTATGTACATTAGGTTGCCGATCTCTGTCGTTAATTCGGGGGGTGGTCGTTCGTGGCCCTTGAGACCCAAGTTGTAGCATGTCGTCAACAGCTTGGCCAGTTTGTTTCGGCGCTCTTCGTCATTAAGTATAGTCTCAAGAATGCTTTCTGGTAAATGGAACCAACGCCCACCAAGAGCCTTGACAAACTCCTCGACAATCGGTCCACTAAGGTTGAGGGCGTGGTAAATGTGCATCCAAAAGCCTTCCAGATTGGGTCCTTGGCGAGGTGCTCGCTCCGTCCAGAAAACCTCTCCAATTTTCGAAAGCGTCAGTCGTGGTCTTTCAGAAACGCTTTCGAATTGAACTGGGTATAAAGGGTCTTCCGTCCTTGGGCCGAGGTTGAACATGGCAGCATCGAAGTACCCCTGCCGCTTCACTGAAGGAGAATCTGCCCCAGGACCGTCACCGGGTGTCATGAGAAGCGGGCTCATGTCACCACTCGCTAAGCATGCTTTTTGAACAATGCGAGATGCCTCTTCCAGGTTGTCGGAAGGTAGCTCAGAAAACTCAGGACCAATGAGGCCGAGCAGGGCGTAAAAGAAGTCTTTCTGGGAACGACAACCCCTGCGGCACAATAGTGAGAAAGCCATGCCGAAATCCAGTCGTTTTCCCTCCTTGATGATCATCCGCGCTTCCTCGGGCTTGCCAAGATTCCAAGGAACGATGTTTTCTCCCAATTTGGCATAATCCTTTTCCAGGATATGAACATTGCCGACTTCACGAATGGATGTCTTCCAAGCTTGGCGTATTTCCTGGATAAATACGTCCTTAACGTCGGGTTGAATCTGGTGACCATATATCATAACCCTGAGATGATTTGCTCGGACGAACTCCATCATCGTCCATACTCGGCTGAACCACTTGGCGTTGCAAACACCTGTGATGCCTGAGACTCGCTCCTCAAGTGACTTCCCATCATGAAGTCTGGCAAGTACCTTAGCCGTAACATCTTCCATCACCACCAATGTAAACCTCGAATTTTGAAAGATTTTCGGAATCAGGGAAAGAATCTTCATCTTCAATGGATCATGCCACTGAGGGACACTTAGATAGTCGTACCACATCTCGATGCTGGAATTCGTCTCTTTTTCCAAGCTCTCGTATATAGAATTTGCGGATGAAAGCACTTTGAGGGCTATTTTCTCGTCGGTTACTGCATTCGTCGAGTGTCCATGGTTTTGCACATCAGAGACTTCGGGATCCCAGACGTGGGAAATTGTTGCAAAATTGACGTCCTCCATACAGCTAGGGTGCCTGTCAAAGAGCAGGATCTTCTTGTCAATTGAATCGTAGACCCTGCTGAATGTCGGAGTTGTTGCCATCACGTCAGATTCAACTACACGCAGAGTTCGAACCAGCGCATCGGATCCTAGTGGAAGCTGGCACTCGATGCATCGCAGATCTTCTGGGAGCTCCTCGCACCACAGGGTTGACAGCTTTGACATTTCGATGCTTCAGGTTTCTCAAATCGCAGTTATCTTGTTCGCTTTGGCTTCTTCGAGGTTCGCTTTGTTGTCGGATCGATGTCTTCGTGTGCTGACATCTACGGGCGGGGTCGTTCCAAGAACTTGGAGCCTTGAATAAATGGAGCAGTCGCTGTAGTCACACAAGGTTGTAAGACCACTTCTTAAATCAAGGACGTCGTCCCACCCTCTGCCAAAATATTGCTCAGCCACGTACCACTTTACGATTATCTTCCCCATCCTCAAGCATATTAGTTGCCCTGAATTGGACCAACTCCCAGGTTCAAACTCAGTCTGATTCGTCCATATGTGGGAATTTGCAGGCTTATCAACAATACCCCTGGAATTCCGTAAGCATCCGATGGAGATTTCATGTAACCATGGACAAGGCTGGCAAATCACAAGTATGGAAATGCCAAGAATGTGGTCTGCTTCTCCCAGGACTTTCGGAAGATGTGGGCGCACCGGCAAATCCGATGGGGGTCAGTAGCTTTCAAGATCTACCTTACGTCGGTGGAGTCGCATGCTATCTTTGAGAAATATGAAGCAAACAATTGACTCATTCCATTGACTTGAAACTCAAGTATTTCATTCTCTTAGGTTTCTAATCTTGAACATGACGAAGAAGACCTTTGGTTTCTTTGAAGTTAATAAATTGGGTAGGAGCTTAGGGTTTGGAGCAGGTTTTACCAAGTTTCCAACCGTATGAGTGATTCCGCGTAGGCAAGTCTCATTTGCCGTAATGAAATGTTTCTTCTGTTACTTGGAGATTGCTTTTTTTTTCTCGTTGTCTCCAACTGTTGTGCATTGTTTTATCAATCCCAAGTGCCAAAGATATTGAACCTCGGAGCCTAAGTTTCGTGTCTTTTCCTGTTTCGCGATCGCTTTGTGAGCCTGTGACTATCCCAAATACCGTTTAAATGACAGATTTTTATGTCATTTCATGCATTCTTGAGTGAGTATAATGACATGATTACACATAGGTGTGACGAGAAAGTGTCCTTCAGGGCTTGCAAAATTTGGCCCTTCTTGAGCATGCGCCTTCTGTGGAATTTCTCTGTCGGATTCAGGAATGAACACAATACAGCATAAATCGAGACTCTCATGGTGTAGCAAGAAGAACTCTTATTGCGGTATATGTACACTCTTTTCGTATTGCTAGCAATTACGAGGTACCATCCTTGCATCGACCTCCCCCTCTTATCTCTCAAACTATACTGCTTGCCACTTTGAACGTTTCATCAAGCAGTAGCAGTCTGGGCATCAATCTCACCAGATGCAGTGCCCGTAAAGCCAGCTCCACCACTGAAATCAAAATCAAACTCCTTTGCCCCCTTGACGGTGACATTACTTCCCCAAAGCTCAACAGTCTGTGTCAACGTAACAGTCGCAACAGTGTTTGCTTGACCTAGAGTATAATCATCAGCCACGGTCTTTTTCAAGATATCTCTAAATTCGGACGTGATACTTACGGACGCCGCCAAAATCGTACGTGAAGCTCGGGTCCGAGCATGACGCAGTCTCGGTCTTGGTCTGGGGGTTGTAGAGGTAGCTGCAGGTCACCTCGATCGGTGCCTCAAGCTCGCTGTTGTGGTACGTCGCATCGACCTTGTATGAGTTGTAGCCGCTGACCGGGTACGAGGCCGAGCCTGTGAAGTCCCAGTAGCCGTAGTCGGCGCGGGGGAGAACTGCAGCGGTAGAGGTGGCCGCGAGGGCGAGGACGGAGGTGATTGTGAAGCGCATGTCGACGGTTGTAAAGGAATAGTTCAATGTGAGACTGCTAGGGTTCATTCTATTCAAATTATGGATGAAATGGAATTTAAATAATAAAATCGACCGTTCTATTGCTGTGACGTTGAACGGAAGTCGTATTCCCCCCACTTTCACAAACAAAGACGCGGAGGCCATGCAATGATCATCATCACCGCAGCGCGCTAATTTCTCACTAACAGGCGCGCAGAGGGGAAACGCAGCGCTACATCGCCTTACTGCTGCACTTACAGGCATCGGCGCAGGGCGAGCGTTCCGGAATACGAAGGATAGACGACCATTTTTACCTCTGCGGGGGCTAGGATGCACCCGATGGCGTGATGGCCCGCCACCCGTCCCCCGGAAGGCCACCGATGCTGCAAGGTACTGCAACGGTGCGGCGCAACTCTAGTACAAGGCAAGGTCCGAGATCTTTTGAGCTCTTAGGTGACTGAAATTGATGATTGGAGGGAAAACAAGATGGTCAGTAACGAACAATGTAATGTTGCTTTACAGCGCTGCATAAACGCTAGTGTTACTGACCGACTGTATGCAGGGCGGCTTTGGTGTTACTATTCAGGTGAAAGCGAAACCGAGGTACCGCCTTCTCGGCCGATAGGTCGTACAGGCTTCGTTGTTCAACCAGCCCATCGGCTGAGACGGCCCGGTCAGCGTTGTGATGCTAGTAGTAACGACGCGATTAATTTCCAACCTCGAAGTAGACATGGCAGAAGACTACATTAAAAGAGTTCTGCGAACACCCAAAGACGTCAGCATTCCGCTGCTGTGTGGGCATGAGAAGCGCTTGCGCTAGGAGAATTGGGGCAATGTTTTCTTTGCCTCACTCCGTGCGATGAAGTGGGCAATCCATGTAAAAGCTCTCAAATGTATGGAAAGTCCCAATCAGGACGAGACACAGCCTGAATAAACCGGCTTTCTTCGAGTTGTCATCGCAATGAGGACTACTTGGGATTGAAACTTTTCGTCTTGTGTTGAAAAGTACAATGGATAAAATCAAGCCTCTGTAGACCTATTGGCTTCTTAATTGCCTTTTCTTGACTCTGTCTAGAGACTGTTGCCTTTCAAAGAGTGACGCCAGAGATACTTGTCGCCCAGGTGCGGTCCGAATCACAAATTGGCTCCCACTCCAGTTGTCCTTGCCTCTCGATGCAAGGCCAGCACACTTTCTTCAACAGTTTCACTACAAACACTTTAGGGTATTCAGCTGTCATCATCTGATGCACAGAGGGTATTGATTTACATCCCACATAAAGACTAAATTGTAATGTCTTATCTTTTTGAACTCTTGTGAACTAGCTTCCATCATATCATCACCTTTTGACAAGCTGCTGTGAACCTCAACCAGCTTCCAAAGAAAAGCCCCTTCGATTATCAATCGACTGAAATAGGTTGTTAGCCGACTCTGGTAATTTTAACGTTAACACTCGAGATCAAGTTCCATGCGTTTGGCTCAAGAGCTTGGTGATAAGAGACGCAATCAAATCCATAAACTTGATGGATTTGACTACCATGACGAAAAAGGGAAGATTCAACACCACAGCCTTCATTTGCCTAAAACTTCTTTGCATGTTTTAAAGCTCACAAGCCAACCTCGTGCGAGTGTCTCATGCGTACGGTGTGCTTTTACGTCAACGAGGGTATTGCAGCATCAGCTCCGCGCGCTGGCATAATCGATGGCGTGATCTCGGCACAAGTACAGAACACAAATGACAAGACGCCTCCATGATCGATTGTGACTTGTTCATGTATGCATTTCTCTAACAGTTGTAATCTACCGAGATAATTCCAAACGTCTGAAGAAGACCCGTGTCTCACAAGAAAGAACACCTTGAAATCTTACCCATCTGATGTCTAGGTATTTCCAGCAGTCCAGAAGATTCATTCATCTGCACTAACCATGCTCCAAAGTAGCAAGACAACAGGAATCGACAGTTTTGGCTACGAATCAGATCCTGTTTGGCTTAGATACCCTGCTTAATGATCTCCGCGGCCTGTGATAGGGGGATGATGTTAGCACACGAGACGCATCGACGAAAGGGCAATCCAGGCATCAACTCACCTTCTCGGCCAGGGCATAAGTGGGCTGGCAAGTGTTGGCACTCGGAACCATGGGCATAACACTGGCGTCAACGACTCTGAGGTTCTTGACTCCGTAAACGCGGAGAGTTTGGTCAACGACACCACCCAACTCCAGAGGAAGCATGGACGAAGTGCCCACGGGGTGGTAGTCGGTGGGCGACAGAGCACCGGCGATGTAGGCCTTCAGGTCCTCGTCGGAAGTGACATCCGGGCCAGGGGCGTACTCGACAGGCTCGTACTCGGTGGCCAGCGAGGTCTCGAAGTTGTAGCGGCGGAGGAACTTGATCGCCTCGACGAAGAAGTCGGCCTCGACGGGGTTGCTGAGGGCGCGGTAGTCGATCACGGGCTCGGTGTTCCACGGGTCGGTCGTGTTGATGTTGATGGTGCCGCGGCTGAAGGACTGCATCGCGACGGGGCCCTGGGAGCCGTGGTCAGGGACGAGCTGCATGCGGGTGAAGGCGGTGTTCTTGGAGCGCATCTGGGTGGCCAGGATCTTCATCTGCGCCGCGAAACCGGCGACGACGGTGGAGTCGGCGTCGGCAGGGAGCAGGCTAGCGAAGTCTTGTTGTTCCAACTTGGTGGCGAGCTCGTCGGCCTTTCCAGACACGACGGTGAAGGGGAGCCAGCCAGCCAGGTTGGTGAAGGTGAGAGAGTACGGGCCTGTAAAACGCAAGTCGTTAGATGTCAGTCTGGATAGGATACACCTGGTATGCTGGGTTGGATATGACTAACCAGTCTTGTTGGCTGCCCAAACTTCTTCAGCCCAGTCCTTGAACTCGTTGCCATCGACCAGGTCACTCGGGTTCGGGTGAATTGATGCGAGCTTAGACACTGCATCCACATTAGAATCATCAAGTTCCTTCCTCTGGCTCTTGTCACTTACGCGTAATGTTCATAGCAGACAAACTGCTGTGGTCCTGGAAGTTCTGGCCAACACCAGGAAGATCGACGCGGACATCAATGCCTCCGGCCTCAAGAACCTTCTTGGGGCCGATACCGCTGAGCTGCAAGAGGTGAGGCGTGTGAACGGTACCAGCAGAGAGAATGACCTCCTTCTTCGCATTGACGGTGATCAGGGTGTTGTTGCTGGACGGGAACACGACGCCGGTGGCAGTGAGGTCGTCGTCGACCACCAGCTTGCGAGCCTGGGTGTCGAGCAGAAGGTGGTAGTTGGGGCGGGTAGCGTTGACGCTGAGGTAGTGGCCGGTGCCAGCATAGGAGCGAGTGACAGTCCGGGGGTCCATCAGCGTGGGGAACCAGAAGACACCGGGCTGTCCGGCACCACTGTCGGGAGGGAACTCAACGCCGTCGATCTCCTTGAACGCTTCCACCAGAGGCTTCACGCCGGGATAGTAGAAGCGAGGCCAGCCAGCATAGATCTCCGAAGAATCACCCCAGTAGGAGGCATCGTACTTGAAGCTGTCGAAGTTGTCGGTCAGCTCGGGAGTGGGCTCGGTAAAGTGGAGGCCCTTTCATGAAGCGGTCAGCTTGTTGTCTATGCCAGAATCTAAGTTAGGGTGGATCTCTTACCTTCTTGAAGGACTTCAACATGCCATCCCAGCTCCAGTCAGCGACTCCCTGCTGGGCTTCGGATCCGAACAGGGTTGCCCAGCGGTCGTAGTCCTCGGCGGAACCGCGCATGTTCATCATGGCGTTCACGGAAGAGCCGCCTCCGACTTGCTTGGCAATCCAGACGGTGCCAACTCTTCCGTTCAAGTTGGGCTGCGGCACAGACTCCACGCCGGGCCAAAGGGAGTTCATGAGGTTGGCATATCGCGACTCGGTGAAGTAAGCCGCAAGATTCTCTTCCATGTTGCCCCAGTTGCCGGCCTCGAGGACCAAGACGCTCGTTTCGGGGTCCTCAGTCAAACGGTCTGCCAGGGTCAGGCCGGCCGTTCCACCTCCGACAACAACATAGTCGTAGCTTTGGAGCAGCTGAGATGACTTGATCTGGCGGGGAACGGCCAAGGCGTTGGCGACGGAGCTCACTGCGAGGAGAGCTGTAAACGCAGTCCGGGGCCACAGGGGCTGGGACTTGGACTGGCGAAGGAACGGCATGGCGATGAACGAATCTTCGTCGCGTAAGGAGCTGGGCAGAAGAAGAGAGTGGAAGGACCGAGGTGCTCGCAGAAGCCCTTAGAAGCCAGCTCGGTTAGGCGAGGGATAGCCATACTTATACGCGGGTGTTACTCGTTTTCGCATGTTTTCCGACGAGGCAGAGCATTTCCTTGGCGTTGACCCGCGATTGCCTTTTTCGAGCGTCTTCTATGTCACCTGCCATGACTCCTTAATATCGCGCGCTCATGCTTGATTGACCTTCTGGTTTAGGGAACCAATCCGTATCTCGTACCGAAGAGAGGTGAAAGTTGGCACTGCGCCCAGCCGGTTGAGTGGACTACCAAGACAAAAATTGGGGATTCACAACAGATCCAAGCGAAATTATGAGGGCGTATTCTGCATCCTGTCTGTCTAGTTGCTACCAACAACATGTCTACGGAACCAACGGCTGCCGATGGCAATTGGCTCGCCTGTCAGCCGGAACAAGGGCGGTAACGCCGCGCTCCATTCTTTTGCATGTCAGCTGCAGGAACCAACCATGCTCTCAGTTTTATCCACGGATACATAAGCTTAGATAACGAAGAGAAAAGACGGGGCCGCGGTAGCCGAAGTCGGCGAGTAAAAAGGTGTGATTGTTGGTTGGAGCTGATTGATAACCTAATAAGTGCAGGGCAGGGATGGCGGAGCCTCTTTTCACCCCCACGGGACCCCCAATATCAACGAATAGCAAAACCGCGGGCCCGTTGATTCTCTTCCCCGGCCTATTTGCTTCCGTGAACCTGCATCTGAGCATGTTACCTTGAAGAAATATGACAAATTGAGAAGAGTGACAAATGAATGACAAACCGGACATCGTGAGCAGCATCGCTAGGCCAGGGCAGGTCGGGTCTTGGCATTCGACATAGCTGTTTTCAAGTTTCTCACTCGGTCCACCCAAGAAAAGCAAAGAAGAGCATTCATGACTCTAATCGCACGGGCGCAGCACCAACTTGAATTTCATCACTTGTGAGCTCAGCCTCTCAGGCGGTGAACATAAACACGTTGACACGAACTCATTGGGGCCCACCTGGGCGTTGGATGTCGATCAAAATCTTTTATGGGTTCGCGCGACTCGCGACCGTCTTTATGTAAGCTCCCACCGGCTTGGCTTCTTTGACGCGCGGGAGGCGGGACCAACAGGAGCGGGCCTCCGGGTTACCGATACGGACTATCGTATCCATCTGTGCGGCTGTACAAGATTCTTCGTTCCGGCAGATGCGAACTAGTTCGTACCATGATCCATGTAATCATGCGTACGGGGCACCACTAGTCCTGCTGTAAGTGTACATAGTAGACGACCGTAGCAATTGCCAAGAGATATGGGAAACTTTGTTCTCGTTGTAATATCTTTAACTGCTTACTCGCAGCTGCTGTAAAAGGCCGCATGCCGGGAACGCCGTGCATGGCTGACATGACGATTGCACGTTCATTGAGTGCATTCGGTTTTGAATGAGATGCGATGCCTTAGATTAAGCCTATACATTTGATGGCAGGCAGGGACGTCTAATCGAGGGGTTATCACAGTCAACGTCCTCAAACATGTAATGACTTTTCACCCCTCTTCTTGGTGACGGCTTCCCTTTCACGCAACATATTAAAGATAGAAACTCAGCTATCGTTGACTCACTCTAACAAGCCAATGCTTTTTCCTGGGCCTCATGCGATTGTGGAAAAGATGAGATATGCGATCTTCGTCCTTGAAGATCTCTCGCCGCGGCTTCCGTGTGTTCCGCGCGCAGCGCTTTTGCTAGAAGAACTTACAACAATTCGTACTGCCTTCCCTCACCCTTCAAGCTTTCCGGATGAGTACTGACTGTATAATCGCCTACTGACAAGAATTATGTCTTTCCAAACGCTGAATCTAGCCCAGGAAAAGAGAATGGACGTGTGACGCCGTCATGGGCCCAAAAGGGCACCGAAACACCCGGAACTCTACAGTTCCACTAGCTATGAGGCCCTACTTAATTAATTCGTGGCTTGTTTTCGCTATTGACCAAGACTTCACCCCCGTTTCATAACCATGTAGTGTCCATGTTTTCTCCATGGACCATGTAACGAGGAACATAGTTGGGTTCATTCTCAGGCACCACACTATAAAAATGCATTCCATCTCTTTGACACATCCTCCTACAGAAACAACCGCGACCAATCAGTGTCTCCTTTCTCCTTAGACTTTTCTTTAATCCGTTGGCACTGGAAGGCGGAAGCCTGCGTCGCTAAAAGCTGATTCGAACACACCTTCGCCTCTCACAGGCACAATTCTATTCACGTTACTCTCTTCATTTCTGGGTTATTCACAACCAAACACATGCAAGCCGAAACTCTTGGGAGCTGATACGTGGATACGAGAACTCCATTTGACAGAAATCGACAAATCTATCGTGTGGTGTAGAACACTCCTTATCTGAGAGGTCTCACAACAGCCAACATTCGTCTCATAGATTGTCTTCTGTTGAGGCATGCGAGCTTTATCTTATTGATACTTTCGGTCTAGCCATGATACATGAGGCTTCCAGGTTCTCTCCAGCATCACGCTTGTCGAATACGCCACCGAGTCGCTTCATATAAATGCATGGCTCCTAGGCATTCGCTACTTCGCAGCGCAATATTTCCATGGCGTAAAGAAGCTTTCTTCACTTCAAACAACATGAATTCTGCACCATCTTGGAATCGAATGCGCTCCTTGAGCATTATGGTATAAGTCATTCCTCCAAGACAAGTTCTGGGTCTGCCCTGCTGTTCTTTCCTGTAGTCCTTTGACCTGTCGGCGTGAATACCTACAGGACAACACATCAGCACATAATCGCCTGTACCGACAAAAGAAATTCCCAGATCTACATCCATGTATAATTTATGTTCAGCATAGTACGAACCCTTCGTGACAACGTTCCACTTCATTTGCCCATCAAGAAGAGAGTCGTGCAAGTTGCCGGCTCGGCCCTTCCAATTAAATAATAAAACGGTGTTTACACATGCGCTCGGAAGAGGAAACCAAACAATCCTCTCGCTATTTCTGGGGTTTAATCAAACCTCGAAGAGACGCATTCGCTAACGCCGTTTCGCCATGTTCACACTTGAGAGACTGAAACGCGCACCCAAAGCATTGATGCTTGGACAGCAACATCACTTCGACCGTCGCTAATGTATGAAGAACAGAATAATCTTACAATGACAGAGTAGGAGCCCCTCCTGCAGGAAAACAACACATACGCCATAGATAGTCAGACGTAGCGCTTCGCCCCTAGATCCCGGATGGGCTCTATAGGGGACGATGTTCAACTTGTCACGGAGCCTGTTGGTTCACTTCTATTTATGTTACTTAAATGACAAGATAGATGGCATCTGGATTGGCTCCAATTTTCAAGAGCGGTCCATTTCTTCACCCCTAGCCTGCATGTATGGTAACCGTGTGATGGCGGCTCCGTTGAGCTGCTACTGTCTATGTGGTGCGTGAGCCCATTCCGACTTTCAGGTTGTAGCCTCCGGATATTTAAGACCAGTTCAGAAGAGATTGAAACGCTATGGACAATTGTGATAGCCAGCCGATGGCTTTCAGAGCAAATCAAGCATTCCGCATCGTGAACGGCTTGTCGGGCTTCTCATTGGTAACGGGGTGAGAGATAGGGGCGTTGCGCCGTCAATGATTGAACGGCAGTAGGTACCAGTCCCAACCGTATTCAGAACCGCATCATCAAGGGAGGACAGAAACCACGATTCTCATGTATGCAAACTTGAACTTGGAGACTTGGTCAGGAAATCCCCCGCCTCCCCTGCAGACAGAATTTCAAATGTGTTTTGAGCAAGATGACGCGAGAGCGAACACTCGATTTCCCTTCGCCCGTTCTGATGTCTCCGAATCTAGGGCCGAAGACCATTTTATATCCTCTCGGAGCCTTTGCGAATTGCACATGTAGACCCTCGAACCAGTCGACTAAGGTCTTCCTTGTAGCATGCCTCGCGCCCCAAAGTCCAGGAACCACGTCAGGAGACCAGATTCCGAGCTTTCAAAACCGTAATGGGCAAGCTGCAGCCATTCTGTGTTTGAGGCACTTGACTGCACCATCGTCCGGCAGAAAGTAATAGATCATTTGACAATCTGCGTCGTCGTTGTCTTCAGCTTATTCAAGGTGTTTATGAGTTGATTCAAACGCAGGGACGAACACGCCCTAATCTAAAGTCTAGCATGATCTACGATCAAATGGGTATCACGAAACGCTGCACAGAAAAGACGCGACTACAAAAATGCTCGACGTCACAGTCCGTATCCCCAGGGACGGGGAGGCCTCTAATCCGACTTGCCCCGCGCCTTCCTCCGCTTGTCCCTTCTCCTCTTCCTTTTCTTCCTGTCGGCGCTGATCTTTCTGCGCTGCCAGAACATCTCGAACCAGGCAAAGATCCAGGTCCGCATCATAATGATGATGGTGCAGACGACGACGGGAACGGCAATTTGCCAGCTGTGAGGGGCTCAATGTTAGCATTTGTCACTTGGTCGTGGCAGAGATGATGAGTGAGGCAACTTACAAGAAGAGAATGCCCTGCGGCTTCTGGATGTCGCTGAAATTTTCAAAGTTTTGCCCAAAGTAGCCAGTCAAGAAGGTCAGGGGCAGGAAGATGATGGTGATGATGGTCAACTGCTTCATGCTCTCGTTCTGGTTGGCGGAGATGGTGTTGAAGATGAGGTCGATCAAGTTGTCCGCAGACCGCTTGATCTGCTGCATGGCCTCGGTGGTGATAACGCAGTGATCGAGCACGTCGCCGAGGTACGTGTGTGTCATCGGCGTGACGATAACGCCGCTGGCGGGGTTCTGCAGCTCCCGTGCGGCAGCTTCCTGGCTCAGCGGTGTACGGTGATCACGCAGGACGTTGACGAGGTTATCGATTGGGTTCAGGAAGGTGAGCATCTTGTTGATTTCCGAGACGCAGATGTACAGGCTACGCGTCTGCTTCATGTTCGGACTCGT